GAAGGAAGGAGAGAAAGAAAGGAGGGGGGGGGGAAAGGGAGAGAAAATTGGCCACAGCAACGCGTGGTGGGTACAGCTAGTGTTAATATAACAATGTTTATTTCTGTAACATGGCACTCTTTCCATAACAACAAGCTTTATTGAGATTTTTAAAAAGTTCTGATTAGCAAGCAATGAAGTTCTCTGCTCTGGTTTTGCTCTGTGTCATTACAGCTGACTACACACACACACACACACACCAGTAGGTCCCAGTCATACATTACAGGTAATTGTATAAAGATTTGCATGAATGTTGCCAGTATCTAAGTTCAAAGATATCCACAGTTGTGTTTTCGTATTTGCTGATAGTAATTTTTTTTTGTACTGCTCTTGTCTTTTGGATGAGAATACATAATGCAGATTGCGGCACGTTTATTTCTTGGCTTGATTCTTGATAGATGAAATTGCATTTGTAAATATGCTTGGATTTTAAACAAGGCCTCTCATTTAATAGACAATTGTGAGCAAGAATGCATTATCCAGGATATTTCTTATGATTTATACAGGCAACCTGTACCATATATATATGATTTTTGTTTTAATATAAGAATAATGTGAAATAGTTTTGGTTAAAAGTCAGCTCTTGCTTGTTCTGCAGGATATTCTGGCCCAAAGCACAACCTTCACAAGATTCATTGGCCTTTGAAGGTGCTGCCAGCAGTAGAGATGTGTATTTTTCTTTTTCCTTAGATTTTTTTTCAGTCTTGTTTTTTGGAGTGTAGCAGCTGGAATTAATGACAGACGTTGAGAGGGAAGGTTATTCAGTAGTTCATGTTTATTACATTTTAACATTTAATAACTTTGGTGCCATAAGATAATCCCTGGTTCATTTTAAAAATGCAAAACTCTTTTCTAGCTTTCATTTTTATTAATTTTCTTGAGAATATCTCATTAAGACTGTTTGTGTCTGAGAGAGACAAAGACAGAGCATGCATGAAACTGTGTGCCAGCTGACACCATGTGTACAAAATATTTCGTGTGGAGAGCATTTATAATTAGCTTTCTAATGTGCAGTGTACTTCACAATTTAAAATTGATTCAGTAACATTTTAATTCTGCAAAGACTGAAAACTAGGGACCAGTAAAATGTTTTACCAAGGATCATAGTTATGTTGGGACTAAGGTTTAATTTACAACTGTACCAAAAAGGGATTATACTGACTGTCATAGATGATAGCTGTATATGGCACTAAATCCTGGTGGTAATTCTAACTAGCATAGGGCCACTGAATCACACTGGATTTACCTACATGTTGATTCAGCATTCAGGAGCTGATTGAATGGGTTTCTCTAGACCAGTGTTTCTCAGACTCTGCTCCTTCAGATGTTTTGGACATCAGTTCCCACAATTCCTAACAGCTGGTAAGATGGCTGGAATTTCTGGGAGCTGAAGTCTAAACACCTAGAGGAGTAGAGTTTGAGAAACACTACTATAGACCAAGCAATTGACCAAAAGGATTTCAGCCATGTAATGTGAATGTGTACTTATATTGAAACCAACTTGCTAGATTAAAGTCGCATAGGTGGGGAATCATGATAGGTGCAAGGACAACCATCAGAATATATTTCTTTCTAGTATACCTGCTACAATAACCAGAAAGACAAAAATTCTATTTTGCGACATGGATAGCCAATGTTACATTGAGTGTGCTGTAACATTTTTTAATAGAAGCTGTTTTATACTGTCCCACAGTCTTAAAGCAGGCTACAAAATGGGATGACTCTGGAAACAGAAAGGTGAATTCTTAAAATATATAAACATGTAAGCCAGTAAAATAAACTGGGTACAATTCAGGAGTTATCCACTTAGTAATTTGCTGGGGACCACGGCTGTGAGAACTATTTTGTGCTTCTGTTGTATGGATTTGGGCAGATGGTGGTAGTTGCTGTGTATCACACCAATCCTAATAAAGGATTTGTACAGTGGGGAATACAAGGAGGAGGAGTGAGGACTGGAGGCACAACTAAGACGTCCATCTCTCTTTGTTGGTTCAGCATGATTCTGCTGTTAATAGCAATGCCTCAGAAGGGAAATACGTTACTAGCATCAACTGGAATGGAGCTGTCCAATCTATACATTCCAGAGTGCCATGGCTTTTACCCTAGACTTTCCAAAAAGACTGATTCAGGATGGTTGCTTCCTTCTCCCATTACTACCATCACCATTTCTGTTGCAGAGACTATCTTTGCCTAACATTATGTGAACAGTTTATTGCTCTATGCTCTTTATTTTTGTCTTTCTATTTGAAGTATGTGGGGACTGTGAAATACTTTCATATTTGGTAGGTAAAGCATACTTTAAATATTTCAGCATAAAGGTGTTTTGGGTGTACAGGTGTGTGAAGCATTTTAGCTAACTATGTAAATGATTATTATTAGCATTATTATTCATAAGTTTCAGCAGCTAAAGCTGGCATGTTTAGTGTTTTTCATATGGACAAAAACATTAAGACAGAGTTGCTGAAAATACTGGTTTATTTTCCCCAAGCAAGCATACCACTGGTCATTTCTATTTGGTTTTCTTCTTATGAGCCAGAGGAACAGCTCTATTTCTTCTCTGCCTTTTTTCTAGATTGGAACACAAAACAATTAAAGTAATCAGAATTTTAACCAGGCAAGGCTTACAGCTAAACCCTCACTTGTTCTTATTTCAACAAACCACAATTTGAAGAGTGGTTTGCTAATTCAGGTTTGTTAGAGGAAAAACAATAGGTTCAGTTCGAGTATTAGGTTCTTCTACTGTAATACATTTTGAGTGACTTTGCCTGTGTTCACTTCCAGAAGGAGTAAAGTCTGAGTTATGGAGCATCATATAGAAGCACAGTTGTTTATAAATAATAAGCCACTATCCTCTATTTTGTGGGTTTTGTGATATTACTAGAAGCAACTTTTGTCTATTGTGCATTCAGTAACTTGTCAGCAAAATGCACCTTTCATTTTATTCAGATATTTAATCTGAGCTGTTTTCATGTTTCACTGTGCTGTGATCCTTCACCGCCCCAAGGGATGTGTGCCATTTCTTCATATTACAACAAGCAGGAGCATGTATAACCAATGTGATAGAACCCCAAAAGCATTGTGCATTATGATGTTTTTATAGCAAAACAATGTGTCAGGTTTTGTTGTATTTTGGAGCTTCAGCTGAAAGGTTGGAAATGCAGTATTTCTATGGTGCTGCTAAAGATGCCAGGCTTTATCACACGCCTTGCCAGTGAGATATTTCATCAGGACCCCCTACTGTTTAGGGCCGTCCATGAGTTGACAAATCATCTCGCTGACTGTCTAACACAGTGACTTGGAGCGTGGTAATCCTAGCAGCACTGTTTTTAGTATGGTTGCATCAGCATGCAGAAAGCATTATAATTCAACATTCAACATTCATTGGCTCTGAGGAGCACTATGCTGATGTATCAAGGGTCACCATTTAAGAAGCACTGTAGTACAGGAACATCTGAGTTCGCCACATGTGCCCTCATAATCCATCAGACAGGAATGACAATGTGGTTCAGTTGTGGATTACACATCGCCAGAAGCCCTTTTTCATATGTGTTATCCCACTTCCCCCACCCATCCATGAGATGTATTTCATTCTCAATACAGTCACAGAAAAACCTGTGATAGGGTCTCCAAATATCAGAATCAGCTATAGATCAGCATCAAACAACAACAATCATATTGAGTCAAAAACATATTTTTGCCTTAATACATTTACAAGTAATTATTAAAATGAAGCACACTAAGTGCTTAGAAGTAATAATAAGCAAAAATTTCATACAGAATAGCTGTACAGTTCAACACAAAATATGCCAGTATATCAATTTACTCAACAATCCCTTTTCCTCTGATTTCTGAAGCTATTTATTTATTGCACACACACCCCTTGTCATATCCATGAACTGTTTCCAAAGGGACATTGTGCTGTAAAAAGTGATAGCAAGGAGGCTCCTTTCCTCCAAACTTCCCTCTGTCAGTGAAATGATGATATGCGGCAGTATTACGGGTCTGTCTCCGAAATGCAGAGTCTCCTCTAGGCTTTTCCTCTGAGCTTTCAAGTGCTTTCTCATTTACATTTTCATCACCATTAATGCTGGAGGGCGGGGGGGGGGGGGAGGTCCCTTCCTCCCTTCCTCCCTTTGCTCCCTTGCCATTCAGTCACCTCTCCTTATCCACAAATACTCAGCATTGCATTCCCTGTGAATCCCTTCACTCTGTGTGAGCACAAGGGGCTGGTGATCTCTGCCTATAATGATGCGGACTGAAGTTGGCAGCACTCTTAGGGCTTTGCCAGTAGCATCCATATTTATCACTGACCCTACTTAGAGATAAACCTCCTTTGTTCTCTCATTTCTGCTTTGTTTTCTTGGGGCTGTTGTATAGATGGAAGGGGGAAAATACAAAGCTTTGAAAGCTTGCTTTTCAAAGAGCATCTAGAAACAGAGCTCTGTCTCTCTCTGTGTGTATCTATCTATCTTATCTATCTATCCATCGCTTTTCTCCACTACTGTTCCGATTGGTCTGATAAATTTGACACACTGGTCGCGTCAAAAGGTAATATCCTTGGCTTAATTGTAAGCTAAATCTCTCTTAATCCAGGGGAGCATTTGAGATTCTGTCCAAGTGTTCAATTTCCCAGGCCGCTGAGGTCTGTGAATTTCTTTCTCCAGCCTCCAGGCTGCTGCAGCACAACTCAGCATAGCTAATGCAGATAGATCTCCTCCCCCCGCGACGCACTCTCTTTCTCTCCATCCCCTCCTCTCTCCATCTCACCCCCACCACACACACCAATGCTGTGCTTTGGTTCGATATGAACAGACTGGCAACTCCGATGCTAGAGCAAAATCTGACATAACTCTGCAGATGGCTACATACGGATGATACACCTAGGATTTTCCCTCCCCTTTAGGAAGGTAAAGATTTCTCTGGTAATAATATATTTTCTCCCTTGTTGCCATTTTTTTCAGGGCTGCCGGTCCCAAAGAAGAGTCCCAAGTCGGTAAGTACTTTTTCAGCTGCTGTACCTGTTTGATTATTATTGTCTGAGGCATGGGTAGTGGGCGTTTCTTCTCATATAAATAAAAATACTGTGGGGAACCTGGTCTACCCAGCTCTGCTGCTTTGCCTTTCCTTTCCTTTCCTAACCCCACCCCGGTCATTCTGTGCGAAAGTTGCCGGATACAATTGTGTCTCTGCACTAATTGCCGTGCAAGAATTCTACTGAATGGGAGCGTCCAGAAGAATGCAGGACAGAAAGTGGATAGTGGGTGGGAGGGAGGAGACAGATGGAATTCAGTTTAGGGACTTAAACATTTCTACTTGCCTTGCCTTTAAAAATGCCATTGTTTCTTTGCTAAATGGTTTTGCGTGTGGAGGCTCCGCCTCCATAGGATATCTTATCAGCAGAGTACTCCAATTTTATAATGTGCTATATGATGAATAATTCAAGGAGGAGAAACAATCTGGAGGCTTGTTTCCTAACAGTAGAAAGTCAGGATGTGTATGTGTGTGTGAGAAAGAGAGAAAGAGAGAAAATACCCTTCTATTGTGCAAAGGTATTATTATAGTTTCCAATGTGAGTGCAAGACAATTTCTTTGGCTATGAAGAGCATCCTTTGTTGTTTCTGCTGTGGTTTAGTGGCATCATGCTGCAGGTGTGGATTTTCTTTTCCTATTGCTGTTTTAGAGGCAAAAGCAGGGAGGCAGGATGGGGTGGAGGGCTGACGGAATTGATATTTTGCTCTCGTTGCTAATCCTGTTCTTTTGCAGAGCACTTACCTGATTGAAGTAGCTAACAGCTCATAGATTATTGCCCAAAAACTATAATTAAAACAGGATTTTTTCCATTCAAGGATGCATCATAAATTAACAGACATTAGAGGGAGTTTGTAGTTCACATATTGAAAGTTTTACCAATTGTTACAATAGGAAGAAGCTGGGACAGTGGGGGAGAGGGAAGGAGAGCGGTTGCCTACATCCAGCCAATTTCCAGAACATATGGAGGAGATTATTGCAGTAATGCAAGATGCTGCAAAACTTCACTGACAGTCCAGTCTGGAGCTCCACCTATATGAGGCCCCACCTTTCTTTTTGTAAAGAACAGAAAATCTCCCCCTGCTCTCAGTTTCCCTGCACTATTGTGGGGGGGGGGAACCCTGAAATAATTAATGTGGTTCTTCTGGCTTAGGGCCGGGCTGATTAAAGTCACGTGAGCTCAGGCCTTCCACTATTGTCAGCTCGTATTAACGTTGTGGAGGGAGGAGAGTGCCGTTTGCGCTCAGCCTCCAATCCAACAAATGTCAGACCGTATGGGTTTACTTCTGTGTCACCGTCAGGGAGGGATTTTGCCTTTGGTTACAATGGAAGTCAGTGTGTAAAACACAAACAAGGGAGGCATGAGGAGGGATAACGGTTTCCAACTGAGCAAAGGGGCGGAAATTGATTTTCAATCTCCTCTTGTCTCATCATCCTTGTTAATTAAGTGGCATCTGGATTGAGAAGGTTGATTTGAAAACAAAACAAGAAAAGCGTTTTTCTCTTCTTCCCATGGTGAAGTTCTTGTAAATTTGTTTACTGATCTGGAGTGGCAGTGAACCCTTCTCCTATAGATGGTGATTCTTGAGAAGCTTTACAATCTTGTGTGTGAAACCCAAATCCTTTAAGAGATAATCCTCTCCTAGTGAACAAAGGGACTGTGTACAAACAGGTGTCATTCTGGAGTGCCTTCCTTCTTTTCTCTTCTCTCTTTGCCTCCTGCCACAACATTATTCCTTTGGGGAATGGCCTGATAGAATTTAGTTTTGACTTAGGGGTCTGTTATTTTTACAAAGAAAAAAAAAGGGGAATCCTTGAATATTGCCTTGCTGAAAGCTTAATCATTTGCCTCCTTTCTCCATTACCTTCAGAATGTGTTCAACCCATGAGTGATCACCCTCTGCAGATAGAAGGGAAATCTGCAAAAATTATATATCTCAATTTTAAAAGCTTAGATGGGACATGTTTTCAACTAATGTTAGAATGCAGTTTTTTAAAAAGAAAAACACACAGACACAACCTCAGCCATTGTACTATGCTTAAAAATACTATATTATTGTTGGAAAAGAAACAGGGCAGGGCGATATATATACAGCAATCATTACAAATAAAAGTACTTGCCATATGATAACTTCAACCATCAAATGTTTGCTTGTTAAGGGTAACAGGGAATAAAATTCCCTGTGCATCCACATTACTTTGTAGTGCAAGTAGATTTATTTGAGTCCTGCAGACATGTGATGCCCAGTAGCAATCCAAATAGGAATTCCTTAAATCCATGTCTCAGAAATGTCATGAAATAGTTCCAGTGGCTGTTGGTACCGAGTGAAGCTTGCATCTTGACAGCTTAGTGTAAGGATGACGCAGACAGTGGAAATGCCAAAGCATCAGCCCTGGATGTCCCTAGAGGCTACTTGGATGGTTTTATGATTGTGTTCTTTTTTTTACCCTCCCTTTCCCCCTTTCGTTATTTTTTTTCTCCAGGAATCCCATAAAACACCAATTATTACTTAATCAATAATAGATTAGTTGCTGTTTCAGGAGCAATATTAAGGCAGCCCTCACGGCATGAAATGGGGTGGGGGCTGCATATATTTTTCAGTTGTGGGAATTAGAAAATACCACAAATTTACCGACGCCAACAGCTTGGATAGTTTTCAGGAGAATACTGTCAGCTTGAGAACACTGTCCATGCCAGCCAATGAATTACTGGTCATAAGACAGGAGGTAGCATTTACATGTGAAATGAGGATGGTCTACAGTGCAGATTTTATATGTTAACTGACTTATGGGATCACTTTGACCATGTATCCCTGCACACCTAGATGCTACTCACATTGTTTCTCAAACTGAAGCATCTGATGGCATTGACACTTTTGTCCTGCTAGTGATTTATCCCTCAGGGAGCCTCAGAGGTGTCATGAAAACTCTTCATCTCAAGGGTTTCCAGGTGACAAACAGGACTACCTATTGCAACTGGTTCTATAAAGTTATCAAGGCAAATCAACACAAATCCGAGGATGTATTATTTGTTTATAACGTTATTATTTATTTGTGTTTTATCTCACCTTTCCTTCCAGCAGAGGTACTACTAATAGTTTTGTATAAGATTATCATTAATGGTAATTATTAATTTTAGTAGTAATTACAATAATGGTAATTAGTAATATGGCTTAGAGGAGAAGATTTAAAATATTAAAAGATCTCAGGGTGGCTTACAAATAGCATTAAAACAAGTTGAAAGTTTTAAAATAATAAGATGATTAAATAGTTTCAAACACATTGAATATCATCATGAGTTTTTAAAAAACAGATTTAGGAGACTTTAATGATTTTAAAATGACATGCAGCAGTATTTGGGGTAAACTAGAAAGGCCCAAGTCCTCAATGAACAGCCAACTTTTACCTTTGCTCCTGAATGAGATTGGTATCCATAGCAATTGGGCATTCAAGGGAAGGCCATTCCATACTTAGAGTGCCATGACTGAGAAGGCCTTCTCCCATGATCCAACACAATGTATTTGCATCACTGGTAAGACAGAAGACCCCCCCCCCCCCCCGGCTCACTTCCAATAGATCATAATCCTCTGCCAGAGAGGCATACATCTTGATTGAGAACACAAAAGCCAGAAATACTGAGGAATAGAGGGAGACTTGGAAGAAGTCTTTCAGAAGGAAAGTTACATGGAACATGCTGATAGAAGTGCCATGAAATTCCTTGACCTTCTGATATCTGAGTTAGACCTGCTCCCAGGTCATATTTGGTATTACTCAATGTTTGTGATGATGCTTATGGTGCTTGTGAATGTATATTTTTGCCATGATTTCATTGTTGATGATTATTGCATATCTAGCTATAGGATCATAGATTTGGAAGACCTCGTGGGCCATCCAGTCCAACCCCCTGCCAAGAATCAGAAAAAATCGCATTCAAAGCACCCCCAACAGATGACCATCCAGCCTCTTTACTATACTATTACACTATATATACTATACTATACTATACTACTAAGTAGTCCCAAAGATACATAATGTGATACTAACTAATTGGTAGCTGGCTTAAGTTCCAATTTTGGAGACAGGTAAAGTAGAAAAAAAGATTGTGGTGATGGTAATGGTGATCCAGACTATAGAAAGACCATGCCTCCCTATAGGAGTGGCCCATGTATAAGATGACTTATTTTCCATTCCATTACCATCTCCAATCTGTTTAGTGAGGACAAAGGAGTGTACCTTCTCAGTAGTTACTCTTAGGCTATGGAATTCCCTGCTGGAGAAAATTAGGTTGGCACCTCCTCCATTCTTTTTCTGGTGGCAAGCCTTTTTATTCAGGCTGGGCTTTGGTGCTTAAATCATGTAGCAGAAGGGTGTTTGAATGCAGCCTGCTGTGCCTTTATGTTTTACATGTGTTTTAACTGTTTTAACTATGAGCTTTAAAAATAGACTTGTTTGGGGTTTTTTAACTTTTTGTATATACAATAAGAATTTTAGCTGGGCTTCATTTTAAATTTTTGAAAGCCCCTTTGAGTCAGGTGAAAAAATATGGTATAAACCCATTAAAAAAGCATTTGCAACATTGCAGTCTCAAGGCAGGCAGCTTGAATAGCATTGCCAAGAAAACAATATTTTCAATACATTTCACAGAAGTACCTGCTTTGGGAGGCTTTGTCACATGAAGATCTTTGAATCAGTCTATGCATCTGTGATTTCAAATTAAGTTTCACGGTTGGGGATGTTTTGCTGCATTTTTTGAAAGGAAAGAGGCTAGTGCCAATTGAGAGATCAAAATGTGAGGAAGATAATTTCTCATCTTTATGCAGCGTACAAGCTGTTTCTGTAAATGTTTGTGAATATTCTGTACACATTATCTTGACATAAGCTGGTTAGGCCTATACCTATATTTTATATGTGGGGTAGGCCTGTGAGGCAAAACACCTATGCTGGAACTCCCTTCTGTTTTACTAG